TGGGAACTGAGGCCCTTCCCAAAGGTCAGCTGTAGACAGCGGTCTCCAGACCCAACAGTGCAGGGGCAGACAAAGACAGGATTCCAAACAGGATGCCCTCTACAAGAAGTGTTACAAAGCAAAGATGTCACTTTGAAGACTAAGGGGCACCTGACCCAGGAATGGAATTATCAATCTTATACTGTGTGTGTGAGAGCTGGACGATGAATAACGGAGACTGAAGAAGAGTTGATGCTTTTGAGTTTCTTTGTTGGCAAAGAATACTGAAAATACCATGCCAAAAGAATGAACAAATCTGTCCTGGAAGAAGTACAGCCGGAGTGCTCCTTGGAAGCGAGTATGGCCAGACTTCATCTCACATACTTTGGTCACATTGTCAGAAGGGACCAGTTGGTAAAGAAGAGGGTCAGCAAAAAAGGGGACCCTCAACGAGATGGATTGACACAGTGACTGCAGCAATGAGCTCAGTTACAGCAAGGATTGTGAGGCTGGTGCAGGACCAGGCAGTGTTTCGTTCTGCTGTACATGGAATCACTGTGAGTCAGAGCTGACTGGACAGCACCTAACAAAATACAAAAACCCATGTATTCTCACATACTAGCAGCAGAAAATTGGAATATGGGATTATAAAAATTCCAGTTACAATAATAACACGAGAAACTGCTAAGGAATAGATTTAACAATAGATGAAACATGTGCAAGGCATTTGCACTGAAAATTGTGAGGAACTGACCCAAACCCACTGCCAGTGAGTCAGTTCCAGCTCCACCACCCCCACTGGGTTCCCAAGGTGGTGAATCTTTACAGAAGTAGATTGCCCCATCTTCCTTCCACAGAGTGGCTGGTGGGTTTGAACCACCACCCTTCTGGTTAACAATCTGATGCCTTAGGCACCACGTAGATGATCTCAGTAAATGAAGACATTGTGATGGTGGATTCGGAGCCCAAATCCCAGCAGGGTTTTTTCTGAAACCGAAAACTTCATTCTGAAATTTATATTAAAATGCCAGAATAATAGGGCAGCCAAAGCAATGTTTAAAAGAACAAAATTGGAGGATTAGACACTTAGATTTCAAAAATTACTATGCATCGGCAGTAATCTGGTGTGAAATGCTGGCACAAAGATACAGGCGTAGATCAAGGAAGCACACCTGAGTCCAGAAACAGACCAGCACACACAGGCCAACCGATCTTGCAAAAGTGTAAAGGTAACTCAACAGGGTAAAAGAAGTCTTCTCAGCAAGTAGGGCCAGCACCACTGGGTAGGGTATGAAGACAAGGGACATCAGCCTTACCCCGCCTGTGCACAAAAGTGAACTCAGAGCAAGGTGGACTCAGGACCTCAATCCGAGAGCTATAACGGCAAAACTCAGAAAGTGCTCACAGCAGTGGGACAGGCAACCGTTTCTTAGGCGGGACACAAAAGCATGAGCCATAAAAGAAAAAATGGACAATTTAGACTTCAAAACTATGAAAACCGTCTGCTCTTTGGGAGAGAAAGTTAGGAAACTTCACCGTTAAAAAAGAAAGTTGAAGTTCTTTCAATTCTTCCTCCAACAAGGTGGGGAAGGTCCAGCTAGCCCTACACTTAGCAGCTGTGCTTGTCTTCTATTGCTGTGTAACCCATTACCACAACCTTGGTGGCTCAGGACACGGTTACCCTCTCCGTCTCTGTGCGCTCAGCCTACTGGCACAGTTCAGCTGTGTTCTCTGCTCAGGGTCTCAGGCTGCAGTGTAGGGGTATCCACTGGGCTGTTCTCTCGTCTGGGGGGTTCAACTGGGGAAGAATGTGGCCAAGCTCCCCACGTTGTCAGCAACACTGGGTTCCTCACAGTTGTAGGATTCATGGCACCAGCTTGTTCAGACAGACTCTAGCAAGAGGGGAATGACATGTTGTGCAATCACACGGACACAACCGCACACATTTCATAGCCACTTTCACAGTGCATTGGTTGGAAGCAGATTGCAGGTTGGGCCACACTCGTGAGGTGGGGACTACACAAAGACTTGGGCATCAGAAGGTGAGGGTCACGGGGTTCTTAAGGTGTCTGCCACCATAATCAGGAGTAGTTCTTAATTAATTATACAAATAACTCCTCCATAAAGCACTGGAACCTCACGTTGAATAGGTTTCACTGGAGAGCTTTTATTTGACAATGATTTTTAATGGTTATTTTTCATCATGGATGGGTTTTTTTTTTTTTTTTTTGGGTGCCGTCCAGTCAGCTCTGACTCTTGACAACCCTGTGTACAACAGAACTAAACACTGCCCGGTCATGCGCCATGCTCACAATCACTGCTGTGCTTAAACCAATCGTTGCAGCCACTGTGTCAGTCCACCTCATCGAGGGGCTTCCCCTTTTTGGCCAACCTTCTGCTTCACCAAGCATGACAACCTTCTCCAGGGACTGGTCCCTCCTGATAACATGTTCGATGTACATGAGAGGAAATCTTGCCATTCTTGCTTCTAAGGAGCGTTTGGCTGCACTTCTTCCAAGACAGACTTGTTTGTTCTTCTGGCAGTCCATGGTATAGTCAACATTCTCCATCAACACCATAATTCAAAGGCATCAATTCTTTTTCGGTCTTCCTTATTCATTGTCCAGCTTTCACATGCATAGAAGGCGACTGAAAATACCATGGCTTGAGTCAGGTGCACTTTAGCCTTCAAAGTGACATCCTAGCTTTGTAACACTTCGAAGAGGTCTTTTGCAGCAGATGCACCCAATGCAATACGTTGCTTGATTTCTTGATTACTGTTACCATGGGTGTTGATTTGTTGATCCAATCAAATGAAATCCCTGACAGCCTCTATCTTTTCTCCATTGATCGTGATGCTGCTTATTGGTCCAGTTGTGAGGATTTTTGTTTTCTTGATGTTGAGGTGTAATCCATACTGCAGGTTGTAGTCTTCAGTCTTCACCAGTAAGTGCTTCAAGTCTTCACTTTCAGGAAGCAAGGCTGTGTCATCTGCATATCGCAGGCTGTTAATGAGTCTTCCTCCAACTCTACCTCCTTCTTCCTGTAGTCCAGTTCTCAAGTTATCCGCTCAGCATACAGATTGAGCGAGGATGGTGAGAGGACACATTATTCAAATTAAGGTCTTCACTTCAGAAATACAGAAATAGCTATTTTTTCTTGGCTTCCCAGAAGGCTTTGGGATGTTCTTTTCTGTCCTCTCATCCTGCCTAGAAGTAATTGGGTAATTCTGGTAGGCACTTCCTTATGTGATGTAGGCCAAGGAGTCATTGCAGACACACTCTAACAGAGTGGGTTCTTTTTATTATTCAACAGCTAGTCCCCTGCTTTGGCCCTAAACAAATATGAAGACTCCCAGAGCCAGGAGCTCACGTGCACAGGTGACCTCAGAGAGGACAGCTGCCCACAGATGCACCCCAGGCCAGGACTCCTACCTGAGGACCAGGCGGGCCAGTGGCTGTCCTGGTGGACACCTGTGCAGGAAGCAGGCACCTAGACATAGGGCCCTAGCCCCCAGCCAAGCTGGGGGGATGACCATGAAGCTGGAGCAGCTTCGCCAGCATGGACCCACCTCGGCTCTGCGAGGGGCCTTCCAAGCAGTGGTCAAGTTCAATTTGCAGAAGACCCTCCCACTGGCATAGTGTTGGCTGTTGCGGATTGAACCATGCCCCCCGGAATACCTGCCGTAAATCCGGATCCCAACACTTTTGGTTGGAATCTCAGCTGGGAGCAGGACTGTTGAGTATTCATGCCGCAGGGGCCTCACCTCAATGTCTCCTGAGGTATAAGGGAGACAGACAACAAGCCAGTGAGCCCAGCTGGGAGTGTGCACTTGACCCTGCTGGGAACCTGATGGAAGCATACTGCCCTGTCCTTCTCCAGCACAGTGGCTGGCGGCATTTCTTTACACAAAAACACTCCTCTATGGAACTAAGCTTCCCAATCTACTCTCAGGGCTCCCAGACCCCGCCCCTGCCCCAAACCTTGCACCCATGAGAACTACCCACTACCCGGAACTCTGCTGAGCACCCCAGGGGGCAGTCAAGGGCGCATCGGGAACGCTTCCAGTTCAGAAAATCCTGGAAGAATGCATTTCCCGCCCCCTGGGTGTCCTCATCCAAACCTCCTGCCCATGTGGCTGGCCTATGGCCTGTGGGGCCCCCCATCCCCAAAGGTGCCCACCCAGTGTCCCAGGGTTCCTGCCTCACGACTCTCTCTCCTCCACATGCCCGTTTCTCTTCACCCCTCTCCTTCCCGTGTCCCCACCACCTCCCGCGCCCCCTTTTCCTCTCAGCGCCCCCTCTGGTCCCAGAGCACCCCGTTCTCCCCGCACCTCCTGCTCTAGAGGCCCCCTTCCACTTGCACCCCCCTCTTCCCGGTGCTCTTTTGTCCCAGCGCCCCGACTCGTCCCTGAGCCCTCCTCCCTGGGCCCCCTTTTTCTCTCGGCGCCCAGTGCACCCCCGTTCTCCCTGCACCTCCTGCTCTCACAGCCCCTTTCCACCTGCACGCCCCTCTTCCCAGTGGTCTTTTGTCCCAGCGCCCCCACTCCTCCCTGAGCCCCCTTTTCCTCTCGGCGCCCCCTCTGGTCCCAGTGCACACCCGTTCTCCCCGCACCTCCTGCTCTCGCAGCCCTCTTCCACCTAACCCCTCTTCCCGGTGCTCTTTTGTCCCAGCGCCCCCACTTTTCTCTGAGCCCTCCTCCCAGCGCCCCGTTTTCCTCAGCGTTCCTATACTCCCCGGGGCCCCCCATTATCCCCGCGGCCCCCCATCCCCGGGACCCCCGGCGGCCCCCGCCCCCTCCCCTCACGGCCCAACGTCGCGAGCCCGCCAGCGGCCCGGAGCGTCCACACACGAGCCGATCCCGGATTGGTCCCGGGCTCGGGAAGTGCCCGCCCACCGCACCGCGGGCCAATGGGCGTCGGGGGCGGGGCCGCGCGCCGAGGACGTCGCGACGCCGCGCCGGGTCTCGAGCAGCCGCCGCGGAGCCGCCGGACTGAGTCGCCGACCGCGCCCGACCCGCCATGGCCGAGAGCGACTGGGACACCGTGACGGTGCTGCGCAAGAAGGGCCCCACTGCGGCCCAGGCCAAGTCCAAGCAGGTGGGCGGCGCCGCGGCCTGGCGGGGGCGGCCAGGGACCTTGGGGACGGCGGCGCGACCCCTGGCGGAGCCCGCCGACCCGGCTCGCCCCAGACCCGGCGCGCAGGTGGAGCCCGCGCTCCCGCGTTGCAAGGGCAGGAGCCGGACGCGGTCGGGAGGCCGTGCCCGCGAGGCCGGGGTGATGAGGCGGCGGCCGGGTCGCCCGGTTCCCCGTTTCCCCGGCCACATCCTCTCCGTTCCGGGCAGCGATTCGCGGGTTCCGCTCCCCGCCGCCGCGCAGGCCTGCGAGCCGCTGTGCCGAGGCGGGGGTCCGTCGTGCTTGCGGGCCCCGTGGGGTTCCCGTGCGGCGTCGGCGCGGCCGACGGGGGCCGGGGTGCTGGGGTGCTGGGGACGGGCCGTGCCTTTCTCAGCCGCACCAGGGCGCTGTGGGTCCGCTCTGGGGCAGTCGGCCGCCGTTGCCTGGCGACCATGAGCGGGGGCTTCCTGGTCCGAGGTGGGCAAGCCGGCGTCGTGGCTGCCTGGGAAGGGCCGGCGGCGGCTGCTGACCAGCCTGCGGTGTTGTGCAGCCAGGCCCGGCCCTGCCGCTGGGCTAACCTGAAGCCTGCTCTGTTCTAGGCCATCTTAGCAGCTCAGAGACGAGGAGAAGATGTGGAGACGTCCAAGAAGTGTAGGTACTGGGTTCGCCAAGGGGGCGTGTGTACTGTGTGCAGGTGTGTGCCTGCGTGTGCATGTATGCGTGTATGTGCGTGTACCTGCGTGTGCATGTGTGTGTACAGTGCCTCCCAGGGGTGGTGTCAGGAGCGAGTGTGCCAGAGGAACATGGTCTCATCTCTAGGCTGGGCAGCTGACTGGGAGAGGTGGGGAGCATTGGTGGGCCTCAGATCCAGAAGCTGTTACCCACCTACCACCTGCCCACCTCCTGTAACGGTGAACATTCTGGAACTGCTTGCTCTTCAGTTTGTGGGGGGTCCCCACACTGGCTGTTTGTGGTAGAAGCCTTTCCCAGCCAGGCTTCCCCTGTGGGAGTATTTGGGAGCCCAGGGCATCTGTGCAGCGAGGCCACCACTCTGCCCTGGCGTTTCTTCAGCTGTTTTCCAAATCCTTCCCTTGCCTCACTCCTGCCCCAGGGGCTGCCGGCCAGAATAAACAGCACTCAATCACCAAGAACACTGCCAAGTTGGACCGGGAGACGGAGGAGCTGCACCACGACAGGGTGACCCTGGAAGTGGGCAAGGTGATCCAGCAGGGCCGGCAGAGCAAGGGGCTCACCCAGAAGGACCTGGCCACGGTGAGTCCTGCCAGCCCCCCACTTGGGCTGGGCCTGGGGCCAGTATTTGGAAGGGGCCTAGTGAGCTGGGTGACACTGGGGCCTCTGGGCAGCCGTGTGGACCTCATGCACCAGTGTGCTGGGTTTATGTGGACCTGAGCCCCTGCAGCTGTGGTGATGGGCTGAAGTGAGGTGAGAGGTGGTGGGCCAGTGGACCCAGGTTTCTCAGACTGTCTTCATTGAACTGATGTGTGTAAGCACATTTCTTCCCTAGAAAATCAACGAGAAGCCCCAGGTCATCGCTGACTATGAGAGTGGACGGGCCATCCCCAATAACCAAGTTCTGGGCAAGATTGAGCGAGCCATTGGTGAGTGGGCTGCCAGGGGTCTTGGCTGCTGCCACCCAGGGCTTGGGTGGGACTGAGGCCTCTGAAGCCTCTGACTACCCTGCCCGAGAGCTCTGCTTCTGTCGGTGGCCGGCCAGTGGGAGCACGCTCCGTGGCTGCCAGGAAAGGCCCCGTATTAGGTGGCTTGGTTCTGTCCTTTTCTGCTTCCTGCCACCACCCTCCCTGTTCTGGTTAGAGCTCTCAGCCTGAGGATGAGGCTTCGGTGACCCTCTGCTCTCGGGTGCGACACGGTGTGCTCCCCACAGGGTGTCAGCCACGCGACCCGTCTAGTTGGCATTTGTGCCGGCTTAGTGGCACTTGCGTCCCTGCAGTTTAAGGTCTTGTCAGACACCTGTTCTTTGTAAAGTAGATGTGAAAACCAGTGACGTGCCATGTGTTGGCACTAAAGGGGAGGGTCAGGGCTGCGGAGCTGGGGGAGAGCTATGGTGTTGTGGGGCTGTAGAGTCGGGATGCAGAGTTGGGGTGCAAAGCTGTCAGGCCACCCCCCATTTCAGGCCTCAAGCTCCGAGGCAAGGACATCGGCAAGGCCATCGAGAAGGGGCCGAGGGCAAAATGAACACAAAGCCTCGAAGTCAGTCGCTTGGCTGACCTCGTCCGGCTGGTACCTGACCACCAGCTCTGGCGCCGGTCTCCTCCTGGCCAGCGGCACGTGGGGGGCAGACCTGCTGAGGCACCCCTCATCCCAATCCTGCTGTCAAACAAACTAAACCTTGCAACGCCTCTGGCTCTCCTGCCTGCTTTTTCCCTGCGCCCTCCGGACGGGACCCCTCCCCCTAACAGCCTCTGAAGGGTTGAAGCTTGTGGGGGGCTGCTTCCTTGGGAGGCTGGGGTTGGACCTGCTGCCTCCCGTCTCTGAGCTGTCAGAGCTAATAAAAGCCTCCCCATCCTTCTGTGGTAAATGACTAACAGCTGCCAGTCTGGCTCCCAGAGGGGGTCAGGCAGGAGGGGTTCCCATGAGGAGCCCCATGTGGCCAGTGGCTGTTGGAAGGCCGCGACTGCCCCCTGCAGGATCCTCTCCTGGCCACCACGTCCACCTGGCACTGGTGGAGGACCCAGGACAGTGTCTGTGGCTGCAGGCCTGACCTGCGCCCTTCTGGGGGTGGGGGGAGCCCCATGGGAGGAAGGGTGTTGCTGGGAGGCCCCACGGGCCCATGAGGGGCTTTCCTCCCTTTGCCCTGCGTGGACGTCTGCGCTGGTGCTGAGGGAGGGAGCCCTCCAGGGCACAGGAGGGGAGGGCACCCAGCTTTTCCAGTGTGGGTCGAGCAGTGCTTTAAACTTGGTAACTGCCCTCAGCTTGGGGGGGGGGTGGCTCAGAGCTTGGCTTTGTGACAAGCTCAGAGGTGCCCAGCAGTGACACTGAGTGTAAATCACAGGAGACGCCCGTACAGAGACTGCTGCCACGGTAGGGGTGTGGGCACAGGACCGCCATGGATGGCAGGATGCAGGGGGCCCTGTGGGGTCACTGGCCTGGTTGGACCTCTTTTAGGCTCCTGCCACTGTTGCTGAGGTCTAGGTCCTGGCCCTGGCTGTCCTGTGGTTCTTGGCTCTCCTGTTCCCTGGTCATCCAAGGGCATCCTACCTGGCTCCTTGGGGGTGGGGTCACCCCAGAGAGCCCCCTGCTGTGGCAGGTCACAGAGCAGATGGGGACAGTAACAACCTGTGAGCCAGAGATGGAAACAGAAACGTTTATTCCTGGGCCAGCGGCAGAGCTGGAGGCAAATGGCCTCGGGGGCTCGGCCTGGGTCTGGTCGTGGAGAGGCAGCGAGGCTGGAAGTAGCTACTGGTCGCTGATGACCGGCGTTGGGAGTGTGACGCGGTCCTGGGGAAGAAGGGGGTGGGAGAGGAGTGGGAGTCTGCCCCCAGTAGTTCACAGGCACACACACACACACACACACACCTGGAGGCCTGCTCCAACCATAGAGCCCAGTGGCACACTCCTCCCCCTCTCTCCGGCCCCCCCCATGGGGCCCCACCCTCCTGCACTGAAGTGACTGTTCTGCCCTGGCCCTGCCCACACAGGGGTCCTGCCCGCCGGCCCCACCTCCCCCAGCCGCCTGCCTACCGCATTGTAAAGAATGTTGCTGAAGCCTGGAGTGGGCCCGGCGTCTGGGCGCCCCTGGAAGGGGCAGCTCCCTTTCCTCCGCAGCCAGTGCCACCCAGCAAGTCCAAGCAGTCCCAGAAGCAGCAGGAGGAGGGCTCCGGCAACCAGGGCGGGCACCGATGTGGACGCGGGCGTAGACCCATACCCTGCGGGCCGTGGACATGGACCAGACCTGAGCCTCGAGGCCCAGCCTGCTGCCCTCTACAAGAGCGCAGGCTGGAGGGCATTGGTTGGGTCCAGACAGCCTCACCGTGGGCCAGGGGGTCACGTCCTGCCAGACCTGTGACTCCTAGCCCTGGTCACTGCTGCCCTGGGTTCCTCCGCTGGCCCTAACCTAGCTGGGCCTGGGGGCACCAATAGGAAGAGGGAAGAAGGGGCTCCAGTCGGGCAGCAGGCCAAGGCCCACCCACTATGGACAGGGGCTCTAAGGCGGGGGATGGGGTGTGGCACAGAGGCTGAGGCTAGGGAGTATGGTGCAGGGGTCCCCTCCATCCACAGTCTGGCTCACCCTGGCTGGGTGCAGGCGGCTGGCAGGACTGCCCAGCCAGGTACTCTATGTCATCCAAGGCGATGGGCCCCATGGTGGGCTGGCCACCCAGGGTGGCTTCAAACAGCACCTGTCGGGGAGAGAGCAGGGCTGAATGAACCCCAGGGAGGGACACTACCCCCGCCCCTGGCAGTCCTTTAGCCCCCTCGCTTCCAGGGCCAGCCTCACCTGGAACTCCTCAGGGCTCACCACCTCCACCTGGCCTTGCAGCCACTGGTGCCGCTGGCGCCCGCCCACGCCCCACACGGCCAGCTGCCCCCGGCCGCTGCTCAGCAGCACCCTTAGCTCCCCCTTGTCTGGGGACAGAGCACAAGGGCGGTCAGGCCAGGGCTCCCCAGAGGAGGGAACAGGCTGTCCCCGTCTTGGGCCCCTGCTGGTCCCAGCCCCACTCACAGAAGTGCTCGGGGAAGCCCATGTGGTACCAGAAGCGGAGGCAGGAGCCTTTGGTGGCAGGCAGTGGTTCGCTGCGAAGCCAGGCTGCCCGGCCGCCGGGGCCCAACACGCCAGTTTCAAAGTAGGCAAAGTGACCTGGATGATACGGGGCAGTGGGGAGCCAACAGGTCCTGGCTACTGATGGAGGCCCTTGGCGTGGGCACACAGGGAACCAGACTCCAACCCAGCCTACGCCTGGGGCACTGCTGGCTGCCAGGCAGGCGCCACAAGGGGGTGTGTCTGGCTCCCAAGGTCAGCTCTTGTTCTGAAGTTCACCCACGCAGGCTCTGACCTCTCCTGTGCCCAGCAGGGCTTACCTGCCTCGGTGCCCAGAGTGTGGTCCACAGCAGGCTGAGGGTACTGGGAGGGTGTGGCCCCACTGCTCCAGTCCCAACTGTACCCCCCTAGGCCGGGCCAGGGCAGGCGGCTCCAGCCACACAGGCCGGACTCAAAGTCACAGGACGCTGTAAGAGGTTGGGCAATGACTGCCTCTCCCACTGCCCCAGCCTCCGTGGTCTGCTCATGGCCACAGCCACCCCCCTGTACTCCCTGGGGGGGGGGTGGTCAGGCAGCAGGCTCCCACCTGGCTGGGGGCAGGGTCCCTCCTGGAGAAAGAGGTCATCCACTGCAATGTATGAGTGCTCCACGCCCGCTGCCTCAGCCTGGAACACCACCTGGAGGCAGGGCAGGGAGCTGGGCCTGGAACCAGGCTGGGGCTGGCCGTGCCTGCAGGCCCACTCAGCCTCCGGGCCCATTCACCCTCCAGGCTGGCTCAGCCTCCTGGCCGGCTCACCTTGGGCCGGCTCACCCTCCAGGCCCACTCAACCTCCAGGCCCCCTCACCTCGGGGCTGGCTCAGCCTCCAGCCCAGCTCGCTCTGCCGGCCCGCTCACCCTCCGGGTCTGCTCACCCTCCAGGGCCGCTCAGCCTGCACGTCCACGCTGCCCAAGCGCCAGGCTGTCCCACCGTGCGCACTGATGCTGCGCACCTGGCGCCGCTCACCCTCCTCCACGTGGACCCGCAAGGTGCCTGCCGTGGGGGGCTAGGTCAGCACAGCCATGGGGCCTCCCCGACTCAGCAGGGGGGCTGGGGCCCCCTGGAGCCCCTCCCCACTTCACCTGGGTTCCAGAGGCTCATGTGGTACCAGAAGGTGAGGCAGGCGGGCTGGGCCAGGGGCCCGTACTCCTCCGAGGTCAGGGAGGCCACGTGGCCGCGGGCCAGGGCATGGGGGCTCATGTCCACGACCATGTAGTGCCCTGGGGGCAGTGCCAGCATCAGCCTGGTTACCCTTGACCCCCAAGTCCTGGGTCCCCTTTCCCCAAGGCTGTCTGCCCGCGACCTTGTGCCGTCTCAGTGGTGTGGTCTACGTAGGGACCCTGCACGGCCAGCCCCGTGGCGTTGGCCTGGCGCCTCCAGAGACCCTGGCCGCCTGAGGAGAAGCCGCAGGCAGAATCCTCAAAGGAGCAGCGCCTGGGGGCCCAGCAGGGACCAGGCCGAACGGCCACATCGTCCAGCCCCATGGTGCCCCGGAAGCCGTCCCGCAGGCCCTCGAACAGCAGCTGGGGGCAGAGCAGAGAGCTCAGCCGTGGGGACCCCCAGCAGCCCCCACGGTCAGGGTGAAGGGCTCAGCCAGGAGAGGAGGGGCAGCCGAGAAGGGGGTCAGCCAGGAGATGGGGTCAGCTTGTAGGGTGTGGACCCCAGCCTCTGCTACCCATTGGTGGGGTGAAGAGGTCGGCAGGTGACCCCAGCACCTCCTTCACGGCCAGGCTGGCTCACCTGGTACTTGGAGTTGGGGTGGTGGGTGAGGGTGGCCCAGGCCTGGTGCCAGCGGTTGCCATGGGAGCCTGAGTGTGACCACAGGACTGTCTCCACTGCCCCTTCTCGCCGCATGGCCAGGCGCAGCGTCCCTGGAGGGAGGGGTTCGGTAGGGTCCAGACTCCCAGTCCCTTGCCAGCTTGCCTGCCAGCTGCTCAGCCCTATATGTGCCCCATGATGTCACGCACCGATCTGGGGCCCATGGAGGTAGTACCAGAAGGACAGGCACTCCGCTGGGGCCACTGGTGTCTGGAGCCCTGTGAGCAGGTGGGCACTGGGGCCCCGGGCCAGGGGCTCGGTGGGGTCCAGAAGCACAAAGTGGCCTGTGTGGGGATGGACAGCGGGCACGTTGGCGGGCGTCGGGCCGCAGGAGCGCTCCCAGTCTGGCAGGCCTCAGCCCTACCTCGGCCCGTGGTGTGGTCGTAGCCAGTACCCTGGCTCTTGACCCGTCGCCAGCGCACATCTGTGAGGTGACTGCAGTGCCAGCCGCACATGTCCCGCTCAAAGTTACAGGTGACCTCTGGAGGTGGAGCCGATGAGAGTCAGCGCCCCCCACCCTGCCCTCATGCCACCTGACTGGATCTGCAAGGGGGGCTGGGGCAGGGGCAGGGTGGGCTGGGACGGAGCCTCTGAGCACCTCTGTCCTTCTCAGTGGTCACTGTGGGGCTGCAGCCCCTCAGGGTCACGTTGTCCACGCCAGCACCCTGCTGCCCAGGGCCATCCAGGTCCACCAGGCCGACAAACTCCAGCTTCACCGGGTGGGAGGAGGGGCGTGGTCATGCAGGGTCGCGGCTCAGGACCTTGCTCCTCACCCCCACTCCCAGGCTGCCCTTCTCACCCGAAAGGGCCGGCGGCGTGCCCCAAGCGGGACCGTGTGCCCTGTCCAACCACCAGTGCTGCTGGTCTGAGCATGCCACACCACCTCCCGGGAGCTGCCCTCCACCATGACCAGTGCCAGCAGACCTGGTGAGGGAGGTGTCACCACTCTGTCCCGGACCCCTGCCTGCCTCCCTGCTAGGAGCACCGCGCCTGGCCCCCAGAGCCGGGTACCTCGGGGTTGACTCTGGAAGTAGTAGGTCAGGTGGAGCTCACAGGTGGGGCCCGAGGGACCCAGGGCCGGTGTGAGGACCCGGGCTGCAGCCCCCAGCTGCCCCCATGCCTTCTGCAGGGACAGGAAGTGTCCTGGGGGTAGGAAAAGCGGCTCAGTTGGCCCTCCCAGGACTGGGGTGTGGGAGCCCCGCTGGAAAGCCGGGTGCAGGGACTCTTCCTGAGGGAAGCAGATGGGGAGACCCGATGTAATTCAAAGGCCTCACCAGCGGGTGCCCCACCCGCCTGGGCTGCCAGCCTCCGCCACTGTAGCCGTCCCACACTGGCGTCCTCCCAGCCCCCGGTCGTGGTCTCGAAGTCTGCGGTGCCTGCAGGGGTGGCTGGAGCTGAAGATGTCCGGAACCCCCACCCTGCCCCACTCCTGGAGAGCCCTCCCCTGGTTCGCCTCCCTGGGTGCCCACTCAGCCCAGACACGAGCCCCCACCGGGCAGCTCCTGGGACCCCCGTCTGACCTGGCTCTGGGGCTCCCTCTGGGCCCGGCCCACCCCCTCACCACACAGCAGCTCATCCTCGCCCCCTGCACACTGCTGCTGGAAATCGCACAGCTGCTCAGGGGGGACGCACAGCTCCCCACAGGAGAGGTGCCCAGGTTCACAGAAGTCCCGGGCTTTTGGGGGCAGGGGGGCTGTGGCCTGGGACTCAGTAGGCGGTGCCCGCAGGGTGGATGGTTCTGTGGGAGCAGAATTGGGGTCAGGCGGGGCCGGGGCGGGGAGCTCAAAGGGAGGGAGGGGAGGGCCGCAGGGCAGGCTCACCTGGGAGTGGGGTGCAGTGGTCAGACAAGATGAGGTCATCCAGGCCCACGACACCGCCTGGGCCCGTCTGTGCTGTCAGCAGGATCTGCAGGTAAAGGGCTCAGGCTCCCAACACAGCCCAGGCCAGTCCCTGTGCCTTCCTCTCCTCACAGACCCCTCTGACCCACAGCTCAGGGCACTTCCATCACAGCCAACCACCATCCTAACTGTCAAGGAGCACCCCACCCCTTGCTGCCTGGTCCCACTCGGTCCCCTACCCTGCTGCACCCCCCTGGCAGTTGGAGTTGGGGTGGTGGGTGAGGGTGGCCCAGGCCCCTCTACAACCTCCTGTCCTGCCTGTCCCCACGTGTCCCATGCTCATCCACACTTGGCCCCTGCCCCACCCGTCCTCACCTGGAAAGGGTGCTTGCTCTGGATGTCCACCTGGTCTCGGACCCAGACGTCGCCCAGCTCCCCATGGCGGCTGTGCAGCAGGGTGGGGGCCTGGAGGGCACCAGCGGCCCGCGGCTGCAGGAACAGCTGGAGGCTGCTGGCCTCGGACCCGTGCAGGTAGTGATAGAAGACCAGCTAGCGGGCAGAGCTGCCGTTGAGGGGAGGCCTCCAGGGTCAGGCCGCCAGGAGGGTGACCCTGCTCTGCCCTGCCACTGACTCACCGTGCAGGTGTGGGTGCCTGAGGCTTGGAGCTGGGGGCTAGAGAGGACTGCAGGGGCGCTGGGCTCTGCCACAGAGATCAGGAAGGAGCCTGGGGGAGGAAGCATGGCCGGTGGCCAGGCCAGTGGTGATGGCCAGGTGAGTGACAGAGCTGGGTGGGTGGCAGCGGCTGGGTGGAGGGATGGCAGCGGCTGGGTGGACAGATGGCAGTGGTGCCCAGGCAGAGGGGTGTTGGTAGCCGGGCGGAGGAAATGGCAGTGGCTGGGTGGACGGGTGGCAGCGGCCCCGCGGAGCTCACCCTTTGCACTGTTCCGGCTGTGGTCTCTGCGCGGCCAGGCAGCGTGGTTGAGACCTCCCGTGCTGCAGTTCCGGGACCACCCCTCTGAGTGAGTCCACAAACCCAGGCCGGTTTCAAAGTCGGTGGCTGTGTGTCGGCCTGGGTGGGAGGAAGAGGGAGCTTAGGGTCCCCGAGCCCAGCCTCACCCAGAACGTGTGGCTTTAAAACTCGGGCTCAGATACTGGTGACCCTCTTGGGATGATAGGCTGGGCCCCTCCCCTGTAGGTCTCCAGCTGGGGGCCCCTGGAGTCTCATTCCCCAGCCTCTTCCCCCGCCCCCCCGTCATCCCAGCCTCACTGCAGGTGGCGGGGTCCTCATCTGAGCGGTCCCCACAGTTGTCCTCCCCGTCACACAGCTGGTAGGGTTCCACACAGGCCTTGTTTCGACAGTGGTGCTGCCCCAAGGGGCAGCTGGACCTGGGGCCTGGGAAAGGGGAACCAGTCACCCTGCCCCCAAGTCCCTGGGAGGCCTGAGGGTCTGAGCAGGGCACAGGCAGGGCTGAGGGGCACCTGCTGACCACTGCCCCTCCTGGGGCACGGGGGTGCCGGACCACATCCTGAGGCCGGGATCCCACCCCAGGCAGGGGCCTTACTGGGGAGTCCACAGTTCCAGAATTCCACGTCGTCCAAGGCCACTGCACCTCTGTGGGTGGCATTTCGGGTGGCGGAGAAGGTCACCTGAGGAGAACAGGGAGCCTGAGAGCCTAAGCTGTGTCTGTCCTGCTCCCCACTGCCCAGGAGAGCACCCCCATCCGGGCCATTGCCAGCTCACCCAGAAGTTACCCCAGATGCGCCCTGTGGCCACTGCCAGCTCCTGCCAGCCAAGGCCCCAAGGTCCTGAGCTCCGCCACAGGGTCAGCGTCTCAGTGTCATGGGTCAGCTCCAGTCTGAGCTCAGCCACATCTACAGCAGGGAATCCTGGGGAGGGGGTCCCTAGCGACCCCCACCTGCCCACCCGTGCCCCTCCTTTGGGGATCCCAGCTCCACAGTGACTTATCCTTTCCTGGGCCCTCCTGCGGCCACCCCGTGACCCCTTGGGCACCCACCCTGCCTTTCGGGGGGGCCCGGGCTGCATACCTCCCTGTGCTGCGTGGAACCAGAGCCGGATCCCGCAGGAGGCAGCCGCCTCATGCAGCGGGGGCGAGCGAAGGGCTGCCGTGGACGCCTCCTTCCCATGGTGTGTGTCCACAGCCACGTACCAGCCTAGCCAGGCGACAGGGTCAGGAGGCAGGACGGAGACGGGGCGGGGCTGGGCTGGGAACAGGCCTCACCCAGGTCGGTGCCGAGCGTGTGGTCTGCGTGTGCCCCGGGCCCCTGCGCTGCAGCTCCTGCCCGGTCCCGAAGCCAGCTGTAGCCCGAGGTGCTGATGTCCTGCCAGCCGCAGGAGTCCTGCTCGAAGCTGCAGGTGAAGGGGGTGCCTGGGGTGGGAGCGGCCCCGTGGAAGCCTAGGGAGGGCAAAGGTCGGTGGGTGGCTGCTGCGGAGCATGCCCCCACCGTGTGTCCGCGCCCGTCTGCTCACCCCCCGCGTGTCCTGCTGCGCTGCCCCCCCGTCCCGCTCACCGCACTGCATCTCGTCCGAGCAGTCCCTGCAGTCACACACGAAGTTGCACACAGCTTCCCAGGGGCTCTCACAGTGGTTGGGCACCCAGGCCCAGCCCAGAGACCCTGCTGACAGAGGCAGCCCAGTAGTTGGAGGGCAGGACGACCAGCCACCAGAGTTTTCCCAGGATGGTTCTGCGCAACCCCAGACAGCTGGAGGCCATGTGGGGCGGGCCCAGGGGAGGCTGTGTTATGGGGGCTCCACGTCAGGGTCCTCCTGAGTCCTTGGCCCCACGAGGCTGGGATGGGGGGTGTGCAAGAGCAAGAGGCCCGCAGCCCCACAGTGGGACGTGGCTGGAGCAGGCAGCTGGCGGCCGAGTGCTGCCTGGCGAGGAGCAGGGGCTGTGGGGGTATCTAGGAGCACGAGTGGGTGGCCCAGCCAAGCAGCAGGTGCAGGACTAGGGAGCTGAAGGATGCCCCCCAGCCCTTGTCTCAGGGAACTGGGGGGGCCCAAGTACTGCTCCTCTCAGCAGGAAGGCCCAGGACCCTGAGAGCCCTGGGGGCAGCTCCGACTCCTGCCCTGGGCCCATCACACCACCCTGATGGCAGTGCCCCACACCCGGGACCGCTGCCCACCCAGCTCCAGGTAGACAACAGGCAGCTCACCTGTGAGCAGGGTCAGGGTGGCCAGGAGGTGCCAGGACTGACACATGGCTGGGTCTGAGGGAGTGAGGCGTGGAGTCAGTCAGTCCTGCAGCCCCGAGGCTGGCTCTGCCCAACTGGGGAGTCGGGGTCATCCTATCTGTGCCACCCCCTGCCCCACCCTTCTGCTGACACTGCTGAACACCCACATCCGGCTGTCAGGGCCTAGGGGCCCCTGGCCAGGGTCCAGCCCCACCTGTGACCCTGGTGTCCCTACCCTGCCCAGCTGGTGGAGGCCCACAGGAACTTGGTGGGGCCTAGATGCCTTACGAACTAGGATTGGGTGGGGGTGGGGTGGGCAGAGAAGGCTCTTCCAGCCCTGGCCTGCAGGTCCACCAAGGTCAGGGCCCACCATGCGCAAACCCCAGCCTGCCCTGTGCACCTGCTGGGGTGGCCCCACCCCTGCACGCGTTCATTTCACACGTGATGCTGCTCCTGTGGGTAGCCAGCTGGGGTCTGCTGCTCACCCATACCACCCTCTCTGGTGGCAAGACCCTTCAGACTGTGGTAGGCACAGGGGGCAAGAACCAGGCTCTGTGGTGGGACCTCAGGGCTGATGTCCTGCCTCAGCACCTGGGTTTCCTCCCCTGTAAGAGACAGCCTACGCAGTACCTGGTGCAAAGTGCTGGCCGAGGATGCCAGTGACCACAGTGCACAGCCCCACCTTTGGTCCTGTGTCAGTGAGGAGCACACTGACCCCCCACAACTGCATGGACAAGCGTCAGGGGCAGGCACTGGCCTTCACGTGCCCGCAGCTCTCTGCCTTCCGTGTGGCCCCCATCCCTCTATCCTCTGTGTGGGCCCCCCATCTCTCTGCCCTCTGCATGGGCCCCCCATTCCTCTGCCCTCTGTGTGGCCCCCATCTCTCTGTCCTCTGGAATAGGCTGGACTGGCAGCAAGCGCTGACCCCTTGCACGAGGCCTCTCGTGGGGCCTCTCACAGATGTCCTTGAGGATAGCAGCTGCACAGAAGGGCCGTCAGGCCATAAATTGAAACAGGAGTGGCCACTGTGCTCAGCTTATCAGACCCCAAAGAGCTGAGTGTGCACTGGCGCCCAGGGCCTCCGGGGGTGGAGGGAGCTGGTGAGGGGCAGGCAGTGCCCACTGACAGAGGCCCTGCTCCCCGGCCACCAGCTGCTTCTGTCTGGACTCTGGAGGACTGTGCTGGGTGGGTCCTTGGGGGCTAGGCAGGGGCGGGGAAGCCGTAAAGCAGTCCAGGGGCCAGGCAGAGGTAACAGCACTTTTAATTCCTGTGGGTAGGCAGGGATGACACACTGCTTGGGGTCAGATCTGAGGAGGGTGGTCTGGGCAGAGGCAGGGCATCCTGGTATGGCTGTAGGGGGGCAGCGGGGCCCAGACCTTCAGTAGCCGTCATCTGCCCAGGTGACCTCGTAGTCAGGATACTTGGCCTTGATCTTTTCCGTGGAGATGGAGTGCTGGGCACGTCCATAGCCCTGGAGAGGGGGCAGGTGTTGGCCTGGCACCAGGGGGAGGGGACAGCAGAACTCTGGGGCTGAGGGTGTAGCCACACTTCCGGCCCTCGGACCACCCTGGGGGCTCTCTGCAGAAAGGTGGCCCTGCCACCAAAGGCCCGGGTGCACTGGCCACCACGAGGCTGTGTGGGTGCCATGCACAGTGATGGCTTCTGCAAAGGGGAGGAGCTCTTAAGTTCAGCAGCAGAGGTGAGTGGCAGGACTTAGAGGATGACAAGAGCCTAGCCAGGCGTCCTGGGCGGGGGGCCCCCGTGTGTCTGAGGGGCAGAAGGGCCAGGCTGGCCACCCTTCAGGCCTGGAGCAAGCTTCCACTTCTGACTTGGCTTGGGAAACAGAAGCCCAGGATTGCAGGCTGAGGGCCCCATCTCAGCCAGAGCCAAGGCGGTCAGACTAGACCTCCAAGGCCTGGCCGTCTGGGCTACACAGGGCCTCGCTCACCATGGAGTAGCCGTACACGTGGATCTTCTTGTCCTGGCTCTGGTGGGAGATCCGCCCGCCGCCCAGGCACTCGCAGCCGTAACCCTTTCTCTGTATCTCGGCTGACACCTTGTCGTAGATGTCGGCTGGGAGGGAGGGAGGGAGGCCTCAGGGTGTGGACCGAGGCTGAGGGTCTCAACCTCCAGGCCAGGAGGACAGGGAGGGGCCTGAGCCCGCGCCTGGAGCAGCCTCTTCCCCAGTGGGGAGGCTCGAGCCTCGGGATGCGCCGCAGAGGGCTGGGCTGTGGTACCCCGTTCTGCACACCCACAGAACCCCGACTGCTCTGGGCCAGCCCGGATCAGGGCTCGCCCATTCTGGGTCGCACTCTCCTGGACCCGAGGGTACGCCCGGCCGCTCGCTGGCCCTGGCCACCAGCCCTTCTCACCCACGTCCCCGGCCTTAGCCCCTGCGCCCCGCCCCATAGACGCTGGCCACGCCCCCGGCTCCAGGCACGCAGGCCCCGCCCCCGCCCCGGGGTGGCTGGCCCCGCCCTCACCGTGGTACTCGGCCCACTTGTAGCCGCGCACGATTTCTTTGCTTTCCGCAGCTTGGGCGTCGGAAAGTGGCGCCGAGTGGACTCGAATCAGCACGTACTTGAAGACGCCGTCAGAGTCGATGTCCACATCGGGAATCTCAGCGAGATCCACCACCGCCATGTTTCGTCAGCGCTCACCCAGTCCCCCAGCTCCTGCAGCCCCTTCCCCTCCCGGTCTGGGTTAACGTACAGCGTGGGGACCGGGCTCTACAAGAGCCGTGGCCAATCCTGTGGGGGAATGTTGCCCAGGCCCATAACCGCAGCCAATCGTCCTGCTGACTCGAAGGCAGCCTAGCCAATCGCAACCCAGCTCCTTAGAGCCTTGCCACCACGCTGGTCCGCCTTAAAGGGGAACGAGGAAACCTGGAGCTGGCCTCAACTAATTGCCGCCGACTGAAAAATCCCTTTCCCGCAGGGTCGGGGAGGTGTCTTTGGTATGGCCAGTCAGGCGGCCTGGGAGACTGAGGCAAGGAAGCCGGCCGCCTGGGGCCCCACCCCAGCAGCCCGAGGCTCCCGCCCACTGCCCTCTCCCCAAGAAGGCAGCAGGGGTTACATTCAAGTTGCAGTTTACTGGGTTCAGAAGCGCTTGCCCCCTGGAAACAGTCGTTCCAGGGTGGCCCTGGCCCGGCCTTCGGGCGAGGGGCCGGATGCAGGAGGCCGCGAAAGCGGCGGGGCAAGCGGGGCGGGCGCGCTCGCGGGGCGGGCGAGCGGGCGTGTGTGGGCGGAGCGACAAGGGAGTCGGGCGGAGGGAGACGCGAGCGGGCCGACGGAGCTGGAGCGCGCGGGTTATCTGGCTCCCGGGCCCCTCGGCTGGGTCCAGCAGGGTCCTCTCGCCGCGTCCAGCCTCACTGCCGCCCCCCCCGGAGTCGTCCCGTCCCCGGGTCCCTCCGGCCCTCCGTGAACTCCCGGGGGTGGAGGCCTGAGGCCGGCACAGGTCCCCCCACGCTGACCCACGAGCTCGTTCCAGCAGCCGCTCGTACCACTAAGCGCGCCTGCCCCCTGGCCCGCCATGCTTGCGGGCCGGGGCTTCCGAATGGCGTGTGTGGTCACTCCCCGCCCACCCAGCCTCCGCGCGTGTTTCTGCCTCCCGTGGGGCTCTGCACCAGAGCGCCGGCTGCCCCTCGCCAGGCCTCAGGCCGGCAGCGCGCCCTCCCTCAGGCCGCCTTTCCTGCCCGGGGCCCTGCCTTCTGCTGGGGAACTTCTGTCTCAGCGAAGGCTCTCTGATCCGTCGCCGCCGCTTCTCACGCGCGCCCTGCAGGCCCGGGGCGGGGCAAGGACTGTCAGTGAAGGCCCAAGCTTGATGCTGTCCTGCTCAGCCCCGGGTGCCCCGCAGGGCACTGCCAGTGTTCCCCGGCGAGGAAAGGTGTCTAAACACCGCAGACCAGCGCGGGTCCGTTTCGACAGGCCCGCGCGGAGCCGAGTGTAAAGTGACAGGACTGGGCTTTGGTCAGTGCCCGGCTCCTGGAGGAGCGGCAGCCCTGCGGACCGCCGGGCCGGCGCCGTGTGTGGACAGCGCGGGTCTGGGCAACAGCGTCCCCTTGCCGCCTGAAGGCGGCGCCCGGGCGGTCCTAAGGCCACCCCACCTCCCAGCGGGGAGCACCAAGCGGCCGAGGACTGGTCCTGGGGCCCTGAGACGAGCACAGGCCGCGGTGGGTCGGGGGACAGGCTCGGGGCCGGACTCAGTGGACACAGGGCGCAAGGTGACCTCGCGCCACGGCTTTAGCTGGTGTGCGGGGCTACAGGAGAAACTCTGGGAAGTGGAAGCAGCCGAGGGGGCCTGGGCGGGGCCTGGGCGGGGCCTGGGCGGGGCGTGCGAGCCTGGCGGCTCACATGAGGTCGTCCAGAAGGTTGGCGCTGGCCACCCAGTCGAGCGCGCGCGGCTCGGAGGCGGCCATGATCATACACATGAAGGGCCGGCCGGTGCGACGGTCTGTGGGGTAGATGGTGGTGGGCGTGAAGCGCCGGTTGGCCTCGACGAACTCGCACAGCTGCTCGTAGACGCGCGGGAACTCGTGGCGCAGGAAGACGCCGCGCAGGCGCAGCTCGCGCTGGATGTGGATGAAGGCCACCTCGCGCGCGCGGCGGCCGGCCTCGCCCTCCTGGTCCAGGCCCGCCGTGCCGGGCGGCGGCGTCAGGATCAGCGTCTCCATGTCGGGCT